GGACCTCTGAACAGGAGTGTCCAGCCCATTCCCCTCTTGGGGTCCCCAGCCCCTCGCCCCTGAGGGCCACAGGAAGGAGACCTCAGACCTCCGCGCACCCCAACTTGTGCGAAGCCGGAGAAAGTTAACGAGTTCTATTTTTATTTTTAAACGGAGCTCCTCTTTTAAAAACTGTAGCAAAGGTCCTGTAGCAATAGCAGCAGCGACACGATGTCTGCACTGGGGGCTTCCCCCTCTGGAAAAAATCATTGGTACTAGATCACATGTGCTGAGGCATGTGTTGGGGGGGGGTGTTAATCCTCACCCAAGGATATTTTTTCCATTGATTTTTTTAGAGAGGGTGGGAGGGCGGGGGGAGGGAGAGAGAGAGAGGAAGGATCATGGATATGAGAGAGAGACATCGATTGGTTGCCTCCTGCGCAGGGCCAGGGACCACACCTGCAACCAGGTATGTGCCTCTGACCAGGAATCAAACCCGAGACCCTCCGGTCCAAAGGCCGACGCTCCAACCACTGAGCCACCAGGCAGGGCCAGCTCGGTATGTTGTTTTCCTTCTGCCCGGGAGCAGCTGGGTATTTCTGACAGGAGATAAAATTTCACCCTAAGGTGGATGAGGGAGGACTTCAGATCAAGAATAGGTCTTTCTCACCTAACACCCCGCTCACGCTCTCTCCAGGTGTTCATGAAGCTGAAGAAGTTTTTAACCTTACCCGACTTCCACCCCAAAAAGATCGCCCACGTGTCTGTCGCCTGCTGCTCTATGTGCGAGTGGATCATAGCTCTGAACAACTACCACAACGTTCGGAAGGTACGCTTTCCCCTCCTAAACGTCTGAAGCAGCTGGGAAGCGACACTTCGCACGGATGAAGTATCCAGGAACACTGTTCATTTACCAAGACGCAAGTGAACTTCTCAGGAAAGAAATACGCAAGGACACAACCTGTAATCAAACACACGCCAACGCGCACAGCTATCGAGCCCTCCTGTCCAAGTCCGATCTTTATGGCAACGATGCTGCTGTTTCATTTGTTTGTTTTTACTATATTTCACCATATTAAACTATTTTATATTCCTTCTGTACACATAATTCTGGGCAAGTTCATTCTAAGGGTTGACACTTATAAATGTCTTTTAAACAAAAGTGGCATTTTAGCCCTGGCTGGTTTGGCTCAGTGGATAGAGCGTCGGCCTGCGGACTGAAGGGTCCTGGGTTCGATTCTGGTCAAGGGCACCTGCCCGGGTTGCAGGCTTGGTCCCCAGTAGGGGGTGTGCCATAGGCAGCCCATCAGTGGTTCTCTCTCATCATTGATGTATCTGTCTCTCCGTCTCCCTTCCTCTCTGAAATCAATAACAATATATTTTTAAACAAAAGTGGCATTTGTAAAAAGTGAACTTGACTTCCTTAACACTCACATGTTGCGACATTCCTTTTAAGGTGGTGGGCCCGAAAGAGATCCAAGTCGCTGAAGCCCAGAACGTTCTAAAAATTGCGCAACAAAGGTTGGCAGAAAAACAAAGAGGTTTGCAGCTGGTAAGACATTTTTTTTTACTCGTTAAACTGTCGACACCTTTATGAACTAGACAACAGCATCCGGAAAGAGTCATCATCTCAGTAGATTTCATAAGTTGAAGATAAAATGGGGATGATCATGAAGGTAGTAAGAGCTTAGTTACGATGAAACTAGAGGCCCGATGCACGAAATTCACGCAAGAGTAGGCCTCCCTTCCCCCTGGCTGCCGGCACTGGCTTCCCTCTGGCACCCGGGACCCGGGCTTCCCTCTGGCACCCGGGACCCGGGCTTCCCTCTGGCCGCCGACAGGCATCTGGGACCCGGGCAGCCCCAGCTTCATCCGGAAGGTCATACGGTCTAATTATCACTTGACACTTTTATTATTATAGATGATGGAAAATATAAATGTTACCTTAAACATAGATGAGCGGACACATTGTTTTTATAATAATTTGGGGGATACCTGAGATAAAAAGTTGGGAGACCACTGAGCCAAAATACCATCATCCCTTACCCCGGTCTACTCGAACGCCCGCGTGACTTGTTCTGTTCACCCCCCTTTTTATAATTTAATTTTATTGGGGTGATACTGGTCAGTACTATCACACAGGTTCCAAGTGAAACATGATCTGTGTATGGCATTGTATGCCCACCACCCGAAGTCAAATCATCTCCTGTCACCATATATTCGGCCCCCCTCCACCTTTTACCACTCCTTTCCTCTGTTGTCTGCGTCTGTGAGATTCAGTTTTATATCCTACATATGAGTGAAATCAAACGGTTCTTCGCTTTTTCTGACTGATCTTACTCCACTTAGCAGAATAGTCTCGCGGTCCATCCATCTTGTCACTAATGGCGCTAGTTCATCTTTTCTTAAGGCTGAGTAGCATCCCGTGGGGTTTAGGTAACACATCTTCTTCATCCAGTCCTCTATCAAAGGACACTTTGGTTGCTTTCATGTCTTGGCCAACATGAATAGAGCTGCAATAAACATGGATTGTAGATGCCTTTGCCAATAACGTTTTCAGATGTTTCAGGTGGATACTCAGAGGAGGGACTGCTGGGTCATACGGTAACTCCTATTCTTTATTTTTTGAGGAGCCTTCATGCTGTTCTCCAAAGTGGCTGTACCAGTGACATTCCCACCAGCAGGGACTGAGGGTTCCTTTTTCTCCAAAACCTCTCCAACACTTGTTACGACTTGTCTTGTTGACAATGGCCATGTTCGCGGGGTGAGATGGCATCTCCTTGTAGTTTTTATTTGCATTTCTCTGATATATATTATATCTGTTGGCCATGTGTATGCCTTGGGAGAAGTGTCTGCTCAGCTCCTCTGCCCCTTTTTGGATGGGATTGTTTGTTTGGTGTGGGGTTGTATGAGTTCTTTATGTATTTTGCATATTAACCCCTTGTCAGAGCTGCTGTTTACAAATATCTTCTCCCATTTGGTTGGCTGCCTTTTCATTTTCTTGGCAGTTTCTTTTGCTGGACAGAAGCTCTGCAGTTTGATATAGTCCCATTCATTTATTTTTGCCTTTATTTCCCTTGCCTTTGGGGTCAAATTCATAAAATCTTCTCTAAGACCCAGGTCCATAAGTTTAGTACCTGAGTTTTCTTCTATGTAATTTATTGAAGATGGCACTTAAAAAAACAAACTTCAGCCCTGCTGGCGTGGCTCAGCGGTTGAGCGTCGACCTATGAACCAGGAGGTCACGGTTCAATTCCCGGTCAGGGCAGATGCCTGGGTTGCGGGCTGGATCCCCAGTGGGAAGCGTGCAGGAGGCAGCTGATCCATGATTCTCTCTCATCATTGATGTTTCTATCTCTTTCTCCCTCTCCCTTCCTCTCTGAAACCAATAAAATTCTACTTAAAAAAACAAAACTTCAATATCAAGGGATTATTTATTTAAGTATTGCAGTGAACATTTTTATTGGTAAAATAATTTATCTTTCCTGGAAGATTTTCCAGGATGTGAAGATGAAGTGGTTTACACACTATCCTATATAATAAAAGGCTAATATGCAAATTGTCTCCTTGAGAGTTCAATCGACCGGGAGCTCGACCACTCGTTATGACATGCGCTGACCACCAGGGGGCAGCGCGGAACGAAGGAAGGCCCCGGCCGGCAGCCGGAAAGCCCTGATCAGCCTTGATCACCAGCCAGGCCTAGGGACCCTACCCGTGCACGCATTTCGTGCACCTGGCCTCTAGTATTTCTATACATAGAAATAAACTCTTGAGGCAAAATAAGATTAATCTCAATAATAAATTAATTGTCTTTCAGGTTGAAGAACATTTGCAGGTTTTGCACGCAGCCTACAGAGACATCGTTGCCGAGAAAGAAGTACTAGCAGGTCGCAGACAGCTCGCCATGAGGCGCATGTACTGTGCGTCTGTGCTACTCACCGCCCTGGGAGATGAGAAGGTGTGACTTTTGTTGGTCTTCTGTCCCCTCCATTAATTTCTCACGCTTGTCTTCAAACAGGGGTGACCGACCCCAAAGGTCAGAAGTTGTTTCGCTGGTCCCTAAGGCATCAGCACACCTTGGTGCGATGCCAAGTCAAACTCTGTGAGAGTGTCAGGTTCTCTTTTCCAGCACAGGGACAACCCAGGATGAATGTATCAGAAGGGATGGGGCTGAAAGGGAGTGGGGGGCGCCAGGAAGGGAAAAGAATGTTTTCTTTTGTCCGTCATCTGACCTTTTTCACCTTATCTTATTATTTCTCTTCTAACTCATCTTCCTTGTCTATCCTGGAATCCCTAGTGAGCCGAGTAGGTGTAGTCAGACCTCAGCTCTCTCAAAGGATGTTACAGAATCCTCAACATCATTTTAATTTAGTTGGTTTAAGCAGAGCAGTGGTTCTCAACCTTCCTAAGGCCGCGACCCTTGAATACAGGTCCTCATGTTGTGGTGACCCCCAATTTCATTGTTACAAATTGAACTCCATTAAAGCATAGTGATTAATCGCAAAAACAATATGTCATTATAGATGTGTTTTCCGATGGTCTTGGGCGACCCCTGTGAAAGGGTCGTTCGACCCCCAAAGGGGTCGTGACCCACAGGTTGAGAACCTGAAGTAGAGACCTATGAGGGAAGACTCCTACAGGGCAGGCAAAAGGCGGTTATGAAGTTAGACCCATCAGAGGGAGATCATATCCCTCCGTTTATGTCCTTGAGAGCCTCTATGTTGAGCGGTGGTCGAACATCAGCGTTAGCCCAGGTGTTCAGCTGCCGGAGGTTGGGTTCTCGGCCAGCGCGCTTCATTTACCGACAGTTAAGCACAGACATGGTCGAGGGAGGAGGCCGCTCAGCCAGGGAGCGTGGGTTCAGACCCCAGCCACCCAGGGAGAGCTTTGTGAACTTGAGCAAGTTGCCTAACTTCTCTAACCATCAACTTCCTCCTCTTTATTAAAATGAAGTCAGTGGCTTTTATTTAACAGGATATTGAAAGAGTCCAATGAGATTTTTCAAAGTAAAGTGTCTATCAGATAAGTGAGGAGTTAATAAATACTGGTCATTATTATTATTGAACACCATTAATAACATAATATGATTTATTTTTTTTAGTTGCCCTGCTTTATTACACAAAGAATTTGAAATGCCTATCCATCTTAGCAAACATGATCCCATTGGCAAATCCAAAAATAGGACCCGTGTTCCCTTAAAAAAGAGCGTGTTTTTATTTTAGCCATGATTAATTGTATTACAATCGTGTTCCCTTAAAAAAAATGTGCGTGTTTTTATTTTAGCCATGATTAATTGTATTACAACCACAGCAGGAGCAGAGGAATAGGAATGGCAATGATTGATCCAACTGGGGGGGCCATTTAATTTCCAAAATGTCTCGAAATAGTAGATTTTATAGCAAAGACCAGTAACTCATTTTCATTTTAACATTTAGACTCGATGGCAAGAAACAATTGATCAGATAGACAGCAAGTTGGAAGGGATTGTGGGCGACATCCTGATTTCAGCAGCGTGCATTGTCTACAGCGGAGTCTTAACAGCAGAATTCCGCGAGCTGATTGTGAATAAGTGGGAGAATCTTTGCACTAAAAACAACATTTCTTTGTCTTCTGACTTTTCTTTAATTGAAGTCATGGCACAAACACAGCAGGTACTACCATATCTACTATCCAGTTGAGTGGCTTTATCGTTGATTTGAATTTTTGCATGTGCATTTTTTTTGGCTTGGGTCTTTCCCCCAAATCATTTTGATAAACGAAAGTACTGAAGTCTGTTCTAGGCCTTAAATTTTTTTTTTTAAGTTATAGTTTTAATTCCTCAATTAGTTGCATCTACTATTTCCCAATCCTTTGGGCAAAAGTCACAAAATACATTTTTTCTCATTGCAACACTGTCTAATAAATATAGCCAATTTCTTTCCCTGAAACTCCTTTCATTAATAAATTGGTGAACTTATTAAATCACGGGCAGTGTTCTTAGAAACAGCCAGAATATAGACCTCACATTTATTAATTTATCAATAGATATTTATTATCTATGTAAGTTCCATGCTGATATTGAAAGGATAAAAAAGACGTACACCATTGTTTTGGTATCCCAGAGAGTATAATTTTAAATTGGTTCCCCTACTGATAACTTAAATTGACCATCCAACCTACAAATTCTCAGGAGCAATTTGTTTTTATAACGCTAAGAACAAATTTAAACCCAAATAAATCAATAATTACATTAAATGTAAATGGTCCAATTAAAAGGCTAAGCTTATAAGACTATATAAAAATGTAAACCAAAATACAAAGCAGAAATCATATGTTACTTAGAGAGGACACATCTAAAACACAAAGATTGATTATGGTAAATTTCCTCCCCATTTTCTATAGATTATGTTTTTAAAAAGAGAGCATAAACTTTAATGCAAAAAGGGATTGCTAGAATTGTATAACCATGTGTTACAACACAGTAAGAATTGGTTTAAGTCTTCGAGAATGCGTTAACCATTCTAAATTTGTTTGTACCTAATAACATGACCTCAAATTCATATAAAACGAACATTAAAAGAACTTCATATAAAAATGGACAAACCTGCCATCATAGTGAACGATTTTAAGACTCTTCTTTCTGTAACCCGTAGGAAAAGGACACAAAAGTCAGTATGAATAGAGAAGATTTGCCCAACATGATTAACAAATGGATAATGGGCACAATAGGACTCTGCAGCCCACACCTGCAGGTTACACATTCTATGCAAGCTCACAGAGAACTTTGCCAAAATTGGCCTTGTTGACCACAAATAAAGTTCAGCAAACGTCAGAGGATTTAAATTTTATGGTGTCTGATCAAAGTGCAATTAGCTAGAAGTCAGTAATTTAAAGTTTCTTTGAAAAACCCGATATTTCTGAAAATTACGAAATATATTCCTAAACTAATCGCAAGTCAAAGAAGAAACCAGGATTGAAAAAAAAAATGAGCATTAGTGAAAATTTTTCCTTTGAGATTGGAAACATGACAAAGGGTTAGCTCTAAGTACCTACTTAGCTCTAGACCAGAGATCCTAGACAGTGCAGTAAGGCAAGAAAAAGAAAGCTATTAGAGTTGGAAAAGAAAAACACAAAAAAGTAAAAAATTTTGAAGGTGTTATGTACCTAGGAAACTGAAGAGAATAGGTAGATATATCATGAGCATTAACGAACGTTTAGCCAAGTTTCTGGAATTAAAGTCAGTAGGCAAAAACCAATTGCATTTCTCTACACCAGCAACAAATAGCCATGTTTTTAGGTGCCATTTGTATAGCATCAATATGAATTATCAAAAAAAAATTTGTATAAAACTATAAAATACGGAGATCAATTTTAAGAAACCTGAACAAATGAAGAGTTATACCATGTTCATGAACTGGAACACTCAATATTGTGAAGTTAAAGTTCTGTAGATCAGTTTTTCCAAATTGATATTATCGATCCCAAGTACAGTAGTCCCCCCTGTCAGCAGGGGATGCCTGGAACTGCAGATGGTACCAGGCCCTATATATACTGGTGTGTTTTTTTCTTTTCTTTTTTTTTTTTAATATATTTTATTGATTTTTTACAACGAGGAAGAGAGAGGGATAGAGAGTCAGAAACATCGATGAGAGAGAAACATCGATCAGCTGCCTCCTGCACACTCCACACTGGGGATGTGCCTGCAACCAAGGTACATGCCCTTGACCGGAATCGAACCTGGGACCCTTGAGTCCTCAGGCCGACACTCTATCCACTGAGCCAAACCAGTTAGGGCTGTTTTTCTTTTCTTTTCTTTTTTTTTTACTTTATTTTTATTTTTGACTGTATTATATTACAGATGTCCCCATCCCCCCACCTTTGCCCACCTCTATCCAGCCTCCCACCCCATTCCCTCTGGCCATCAGCACACTGTTGTCCATGTCCATGGGCTATGCATATATGTTATTTGGCTAATCCTTTCACCTTCTTTCACCCAGTTGCCCCTCCCCTCTGACAGCTGTCGGTCTGTTCCATGTTTTTTTCTATATATACACACTTTTTCACTAAAAGGAAGCCCATCACGGCTTCTCTCTGGCACATCTGAATTGCCAGCATCACTACTCTTTTTTTAAATATATTTTTATTGATTTCAGAGAGGAAGGGAGAGGGAGAGTGAGAGATAGAAACATCCGTGATGAGAGACAATCATGAATCAGCTGCCTCCTGCACGCCCCCTACTGGGGATTGACCCCGCAACCCGGGCATGTGCCCTTGACCGGAATCCAACCCGGGACCCTTTAGTCCGCAGGCCGACGCTCTGTCCCAGCGGTCCTCAAACTACGGCCCGCGGGCCACATGCAAATACAAATATTGTATTTGTTCCCGTTTTGTTTTTTTACTTCAAAATAAGATATGTGCAGTGTGCATAGGAATTTGTTCATCGTTTTTTTTAAACTATAGTCCGGCCCTCCAACAGTCTGAGGGACAGTGAACTGGCCCCCTGTTTAAAAAGTTTGAGGACCCCTGCTCTATCCATTGAGCCAAACCGGCTAGGGCCAGCATCACTTAGGGGCCGTTATGAAGTCACATAAGGGCGACTTAAACACCAGCCCAGCTGGACCACGCCGGTGGATCTGGGCTACAGGCGACTAACGGGCGGGTACGTCCTGTAGGTATTAACCACGTTGAAGAAGTTCACAAAACAATGAACGCATTCGTGGTCTCGTTCCAGCTCCGCCAGTGGCATCAGCAGGGGCTGCCTCTTGGTCAGTATTCGACGGAGAACGCCATCCTGATCCAGAACGGCCTGCCGTGGCCTCTGCTGATTGACCCCCACGAGCAAGCGTATCACTGGATCCGCCAGATGGAAGGGCCGCGGCTGCAGGAGTGCTCCATCCGGGACAGCGATTACATCAGGACAATTGAAAAAGCTATGCAGACAGGAGGGAGCGTCCTCCTGCAGGTATGTGCCCCCGGTGGCCGGCTTCCCTCGTCCCAGGCCGAGGACACAGACATTGTATGCACTGAGCAAAAAAGCCTGAGTGAGACCTTAAAGGAAGTGGCAGGTCAACTCCTCGGGGGGGAAATACATGCATCTATACGGTGAGTTTTCAATGTCCAGCTTTCTCAGGTCTGTCCTTTCCTGGTGTCCAGATATTAATAAGATTCGTATGTATGGGAGTGGGGAGGGAGGGCAATGGGGGGATATGGACACATATGTAATACCTTATTCCAGTGGTTCTCAACCTTCCTAATGCCGCGACCCTTTAATACAGTTCCTCATGTTGTGGTGACCCCCCGTTTCATTGTTACAAATTGAACATCATGAAAGCATAGTGATTCATCACAAAAACAATATGTCATTATAGATGTGTTTTCCGATGGTCTTAGGCGAACCCTGTGAAAGGGTCGTTCAACCCCCAAAGGGGTCTCGACCCACAGGTTGAGAACCACTGCTTAGTCAATTTAAAAAAATGAGAAAAGATTCGCATTTCTTAAAGCTGTGTCTTTTCCACCGATTTATTCTGTGTAAGATGAACTTGTTTAACTCCCATCTATTGGGTTTTTCAGGATCTCCCTGAAACCTTGCCTCCAAGTCTGAAGGCGATTTTGAAGAAGGACATCTACCAGAGAAGAGGCCATTCCTTCATCCGGGTCAATGACTCTGAGATTGAATATAATTCCAAGTTTAGGTAAGGTCCTAGTCCACTGAGCCAAAGGTTTCCGTTTTCTCAGACCATCACGTTGAAGGTCCTGTTTCAGCCCCATAAGCGTCTCCTGGGGGGAGAAGCGAGATTGCATTTTGCATGTTCTTCTTTTGTTCGTGTTTTCAGTTTCTGTGTCTTGGCCCTCAGCATACAGAACAGAGAATGAATTGTTGTTTATTCAGTCATTGCACGCTGATATTTTTCCAGCTGTGCCTGGGGAAGTGTGTGGTCTCCACGGGGTTTTCAGAAACTGTGCAGGAAGGACAGCAAGCGGGAGGCCTGGCCCTACCTGACCCACAGCAGCTTGCAAACTGCGGCTCGCGAGCCACATGCGGCTCTTTGGCCCCTTAAGTGTGGCTCTTCCACAAAATACCACGTGTGGGCGCGCACGTACAGTGCGATTGAAACTTCGTGGCCCATGCGCAGAAGTCGGTATTTTGTGGAAGAGCCACACTCAAGGGGCCAAAGAGCTGCATGTGGCTCGCGAGCCGCAGTTTGCCGACCACTGCGTTAGCCTAACCAACAGGCAGAGCTTCCGCTCCCATTGAAAAAGACCCGTGTTTGATATCTAGAGCAAAAAGACAGAGATCTTTGCTGGGCGCATAAAAACATTGCATCCTGCTCCAGGCAGTAGTGATTCCCACCCGCTAACTTCAGAGCACAGTTGTAGAGTCTAATTTAATTACCACAAAAACACAGTTCCCATGGGAAGCAGACAGTTGAGGTGTAGGTCGTATGCACTCTCTCCATACTCAGAAAATTGCTGGGTGAGGGGGTAGCCAGCAAGGAGAGGTTGCTGGGTGAGGGGGTAGCCGGCAAGGAGAGGTTGCTGGGTGAGGGAGTAGCTGGCATAGAGAATTCGAGGACGATTGTAACGAGCCCTTTCCTGGTGTGTTTACCTCCTTTCCAAGCCTCGGGCAGACTGGCTCCGTCCGCTGCTGGCCCCTGGGCCCCCTCTCACCCTTGAGCAGGGCTGCCAAATCCTCACGCCTTAGGGTTCTGTCTCCAGCCTCCTTCCACATCTACCAAAGCATGTTCCTCAAAGCATGTTCCTCAAGGGATTTAGTAGGTGTCGCTCAACAAAAAGGGGTCCCTCTACTTTTGCTGGGTGAGGGAGTAGCCGGCAAGGAGAGGTTGCTGGGTGAGGGAGTAGCTGGCATAGAGAATTCGAGGACGATTGTAACGAGCCCTTTCCTGGTGTGTTTACCTCCTTTCCAAGCCTCGGGCAGACTGGCTCCGTCCGCTGCTGGCCCCTGGGCCCCCTCTCACCCTTGAGCAGGGCTGCCAAATCCTCACGCCTTAGGGTTCTGTCTCCAGCCTCCTTCCACATCTACCAAAGCATGTTCCTCAAAGCATGTTCCTCAAGGGATTTAGTAGGTGTCGCTCAACAAAAAGGGGTCCCTCTACTTTTCTAAAGCTCTGAGTTTAACGAACTTCAACAAGATTCTTCCCGACGAGGACCTACAACCCCTTCGCTTGCTGGCCCTCTCCAGAAAGTGGCTTCCTGCGGAACACACTCAGGAAAGCTCCGTGCAACCCATCCTCTCCCCCTCGCTGAACACCATGCCATTTATTAAGCCAAGCCCTGGAGATGCTAACGAGGCAACGTTTTCCTGAATCGACAGCCTGGTCTGGTGTCAGAATGTGTGTTTGGGGATGTGGTAGAGGCCTCTAGATTGGAGGGCAGACGGGCAGCAGAGCCCACCCTGTCACTTTCTGGCCATGCATCTCGGGCCACTTCCTTAACCTAAGTCCCCGCTTCACCCCCCGATCGAAAGGAAAGAGGATTGTCTCCGCTCTGTCGGGTTGCAATGAAGTCTGACCCCTCCTGACCACGCCCGCTGGTCCCACCTGCTCCATGCCACCATCTCCCACTTTGTAACCAGCCGCCTCCCTCTGCACACACTGCTCTCAAGAGCAGACAGACTTGTCCCGTTAAGAACAAATCCTGTCACCCCTGGACTCAGACCCCTCCACCGGCTTCTTACTCCGGGGAAAAAACCAGTCTTATCATGACCTACGGGCAGGTCAAAGCGCCTACTATGTCGCATTCGTCTTTACTGTGTCCTGAATTGCAGGCCAGATGTAGTACGAACATCATGTGTGGTTGCGTTTTAAAAGTCCTACATAGCAAATGTATCCACAGAGTACAAACTCACAGAGAGCCACCTTGTGTACAAGGTAGAATAGCGCTGAAAATGAGCCTTGTTTACTTCCAGGAGAAACATCTTTTTCATTATTAAAAAAAAAGTGGTTTCATGTTCCCCTTCGACTAACCGATGAAACCTTTCTCGTGTTCCAGGTTATACTTATCTACAGAAATAGACAACCCGCACTTTCCTCCCGCCGTCTACAACTCCGTCAGTGTGATCAACTTCACCGTGACCTTCCAGGGTTTGCAAGATCAGCTCCTGTCCACCATCGTCACTCACGAAGTCCCTCACCTGGAGAACCAGCGCTTCCAGTTGCTGGAGAGCATTTCCCTGGATGCGACGACGCTGGAAGAACTGGAGGAAAAAACGCTGAATTTGCTGGAGAACACACAAGGCAAGTTACGGCGTTGAGTGGCGCCCTGGCCGGTGCGGCTCAGTGGGTAGAGTGTCAGCCCTCGGACTGAAGGGTCCCGGCTTCAATTCCGGTCAAGGGCACGGACCTCGGTTGCAGGCTCCATGCCTGGCCCCGGTTGGGGCGCGTGCGGGAGGCAACCAATCGATGTGTCTCTCTCACATCTATGTTTCTCTCTCTCTGTCTCTCCCCTCCCTTCCACTCGCTCTAAACATCAATGGTAGCCTTTGGTGAGGATTCACAAAAATGTGCATATAATTCAGGAACAGCCAAATGCAAGACATTCATAGGGCAGAGTATAGGGAAAGGGCGCGCAGCCTCCTTGCTCTCTCCAGTGACCACTCTTCCAAACCCGCGTGTTCACCAGCCCGGAGCTCTGCCACTCCGTTTGGGTTGTATGGAGGCCTGATTCATTGACTCATTGGCCATGGCTGATCACCCCCTCTCCCCTTCCCAGAAAGCAGGGCACCCTCTTCATGGGATGACAAATCAGTCTCATCGGTCATGATCACTTGTATTTGTTTTGAAAATAGAGAACAATAGGAAATATTCGAGTGCGTCCCAGGAAATGAGGGTACCCGTGTTCATTTCTGGAAGTTTTTATTTTCATCTTCTCTGTGTATAGCGGGTCACCGTGGAAATGCGTTCATCACGATGGAATGACCACTTACGTGCCTGCAATAAAAATAGAATCCGCAAACACGAACGTAATTTAAAGAAGAGATGAGGGCGTGGGAAGAGGGGCATGTGTACCATTATTCAAACTTAATAGAATCATGACTCATCTTCACTGGAGAGCACATCTCCAGAACAAAACCCACAAAAAGCCGATAGCGAAAACTCTTACGTAGCGAGTACAGAATGAGGACGCTGCCACTGGATATGGGAGCGGCTTTTATTGACGTTCATTTCCTGTTTGTTTTTAGGATGTGTCCTAGATAACGAGGAAATCATAGACACCTTGAGAAAATCCAAGATTACTTCCAATGAAATCTCCAAGCGCATCAGCGAGACAGAAAAAGCAGAAAGTGAAATCCAGGCAACGCGTAAAAACTACCTCCCCATCGCGACCCGGGGGGCCCTGCTCTACTTCGTCGTGGCCAGTCTCACCCAGATCAATCACATGTACCAGTTCTCCCTGGACTGGTTCCGCCAGGTTTTCCTCTCGTCGGTCGTTTCCAAAAGCAAAGAGCAGGAAGAACACGGGTTGAAAAGGGAGAAAGTCCCTCCCAAGAAAGTTCACGAACTTGTAAGTCTCTCCAAAGAACCCAAGTTGAAACTGGAGAAACCTCCCTTAGAGAAGCATCTTAAAAACTCAGTCGATGTGCTGACCATGAATATATTTAAGGTGAGGACAGCCCTGAAGGCGAATTCTGCACACGTGTTCTCTCTCACCGCGTTCGCCTGACGGTTTTCTTGTCCCCGTAGGTGGTCTCTGCAGCTCTCTTCAACCAGCATAAACTCTGCTTCGCCTTCCTGCTTTGCACCGCAATCATGAAGAATAACGCCAGCGAGAGTCCCCCCGAGGACGGCATCGGGTCCCTCCCAGAGGAGGAGTGGAACATCTTCCTCTACTCGAGCATCTTGATAAACACCAAAGGGGTGATGCCGCACCCTCGTCTTGATCGTAAGTGCAAGTCGTGTCTCCGGATTTGGTAACAAGCTATTTCCCTGAAGAAAAAAAAAACACTGAAGATTCCTAAGGTGCTTCATGTCAGTGCTTCTGTGTGCGTCACACTAAAAGCAGCTCGAGGTCCAGGGCAATGTCCGTCTCATCGCTGTACCCCCTATGCTGTTGGGCATATCACTGGTGCTCAGTAACTTCGGGGTGAATGAATGACCATGGCTACGGCTAAGATAACCCTAATCTACATGATTAGGAGGCTGAGAGGTTCCATGATCTGTCTGTCACCTGTAAGTTGGAGGATCCAGGAAAGCTGGTTGGTGTGATTCAGGCCAAAGGCCTGAGACCCTGAGGAGCTGCTGGGTAAGTCCTGGGCGGAGTCCAGTGCACAGGCAACAAAAGAAAAAATAGGCCAACGGGACCACATCAGACATAGAAACCTCCCAGGCAACGGAGCGAAAGACAAGCTATGGAATGAGAGAAATGTTTCAAATCATATATCTAATAAGGAATTCATATACAATCTATAATTATAAAAGCGTAACATGCTAATTAGACCGGACAGCCAAACGACCTTCCGGACGTCCTTCCAGACAACCCTCCGGATGAAGCCAGGGCTGCAAGGGCCAAGGCAAGCCGCTGCGGCTGCGAGGGCTGAGCCTCTTGCATGAATTTCGTGCATCGCATCGGGCCTCTAGTATATATATATATGCCTAAGTGACTGTTATGACCGGTCGACATAGGAGCTTCCCCCTGGTGGTCAGTGCGCTCCCACAGCCAACCTCCCACCGTCCCTCCCCCCCGGCTGGCTGGCCCCGATCGGCCTCCCACTGTGGGAGCACGCTGACCACCAAGGGGCAGCTCCTGCGTTGAGCGTGTACCCCCTGGTGGTCAGTGCGCGTCATAGCGACCGGTCATTCAGGTCATTCGGCCGTTCGGTCGCTGGGCTTCTCTTATACGGGGTTGTTATGTGAAATAGCTCTCTCCCAACAATAGGTACTTACTGAGCATCGACTTTGCAACGCGTCCCTCACAGGTGCAGGATGTGTCCCCCGCAATGTGACCGTTTCTCCTTCCCCGCCAGGCCTGTATGAAATGGACAGAAGCAGGCACCTGCGCTGGGTCTCGCACGCCAGGTGGAAGCAGTGCCGGTACCTCAGCCGTCAACTGGAAGCCTTCTCTTCCCTGTGCCGGTCCCTGCTGTTCAACGTGTCCCAGTGGAGCGCCTTCCAAGCCAGCACGGCCCTGTACCTTCTGCTGGGCACACCTTTCTCTGCAGAAAGGGACTCCCCGGATGAAAGTGAGAAATCGCCGGAGGAAAGTAAGAAGGCGTTTCACGTTGTGACCTAGCTCGACCGCCTCCGTGTGTGTGTGTGTGTGTGTGTGTGTGTAGAGTATCCCCTGTAAATGGAGTCCGGTAGCTTATATGATGAAAAATCCAAGAGAGGAACATTACTACGTTGTAAGCATGTCTTTTTTTAAAATATATATGTTTATTGATTTCAGAGAGGAAGGGAGAGGGAGGGAGAGGGAGAGAGAAACATCAATGATGAGAAAGAATCGTGGATCGGCTGCCTCCTGCACGCCCCCTACCGGGGATCAAGCCCGCAACCCGGGCACGTGCCCTTGACCGGAACCGAACCCGGGACCTTTCAGACCGCAGGCCGACGCTCTATCCACTGAGCCAAACCGGCGAGGGCTAACAGATGTGCTTTAGGTATTGTTTTTATGTAAAAGACGTGTTCTAAAAATTGCATAGGAAATAGAACTTAAATTTAAATGATTGCTACTTTTAGCAGATCTTTTCCATTTTTTTGTTTTTTTCAGTTTGAGCGCTTCCTCCTCACTTTTCCCTGCCCCTTCCACCCACGTCACCCCTATTCAGGGTTCACCACCCCAAGTCAGTCTCCTTCCATCACCATTTGTCCCCCTAGGCCAGTGATGGTGAACCTTTTGAGCTCGGCCAGATGTGCTTTAGGTATTGTTTTTATGTAAGAGACGTGTTCTAAAAATTGCATAGGAAATAGAACTTAATTTAAATGACTTGCTACTTTTAGCAGATCTTTTCCATTTTTTTGTTTTTTTCTTCAGTTTGAGCGCTTCCTCCTCACTTCCTGCCCCTTCCACCCACGTCACCCCTATTCAGGGTTCACCACCCCAAGTCAGTCTCCTTCCATCACCATTTGTCCCCCTTTATCCCCTTGTACTTCCCTTTGGCAATCATCATACTGTTGTTTGTGTTCATGAATCTCTTTTTTTTTCTTTGCTTATTTGTTAATGTGATATTTTACACTGTTTGTACTAAGCCTTTAATATCCAGTGTAGATTTTACACTAACAGCACACCTCAATTTGCCAAGCCATATTTCAAGTGCTCAATACCAAACATTACATCTATAGGCAATGCTACCAGGATAAGTCAAGAATTCTTCAATTAGAATAGAGGAAAATTCAATATTTCTAATCTGTGTCCAAGGCTTTTTTTCTCTTCTTTTGCCCAATTCCTCTATCCCCCTCCACCCAACCCCACCATCAGCCTGCTCTCTACCAACGAGTCTGTCTCCACTCGGCTTGTTAGCTCGTTTTGTTCATTTGTGGCATCTTCTAGTGAACCAAAGTATTCGATGGTTAATCCTCGTTCCTTTTCTCTAAATTGTATCCAGCTGAACTTCTGAATGAACATGAAGAATTACATCGTCCTGTAAATTTCCCCTGGGAGAAACTCACTCCGTTTCAAAGACTTATTTTGGTAAGACGTGCTGTGAGCAGATCATCGGTATTCTCCATGTTTCGAGCACTTGAACAGTAACTTAAACCCTTCCGATTTCAAGTTGAGTCGGCCGCCCGGCCGGTGTGGCTCAGGGGTCCTTGGGGTTAAGGACGAGAACCGTGGAGGAAGTTTATATAAGTGCTTGGTTGGTCAAGGAGACGGAGCAAGAGCCAGCAGCCTGAGGGTGACAAAGGGCCGTGACCAACCGCACGGAGAGCACAGATCCTCCCAGCCATGGTGGCCAGGCCCCGCCCCTCGCCGTTTGCCTCACTTGATCTCCCGTTTTCTTTTCTAGATAAAAATTCTCAGACCGGAGCGTTTGAAGAACTCGGTGAGAAAGTTTCTGACTGAAAAAATAGGAAGTGAGTATATTCACAGAACCGGAATTAACCTGAAAGAATCCTATAAAGACTCCAACGCCAGGACTCCAATGATACTCATTCACTCGCAAGGTAAGCTGCTGCCAAGCCAGTAAGGTGATGCCACCGTCTGTCAAAAGCTGTGGGGAAGTAGGGCTGTGTCCGCTTTAAAATATTTTCCCGTTCTTACTCAAACATTTGGAAAAGGGACAGATGACAATTTTATTTTTTAAAAAAAATATTTTATTGATTTTTCACAGAGAGGAAGGGGGAGAGAGATAGAGAGCTAGAAACATCGATGAGAGAGAAACATCGATCAGCTGCCTCCTGCACACCTCCTACTGGGGATGTGCCCGCAACCCAGGTACATGCCCTTGACCGGAATCGAACCTGGGACCTTTCAATCCGCAGGCCGACGCTCTATCCACTGAGCCAAACCGGTTACGGCCAGATGACAATTTTAAAGTACATTGAGAATGAACCTTTCGCCCGGCCGGCGTGGCTCAGTGGTTGAGCTCCAACCTAAGAACCAGGAGGTCACAGTTCAATTCCCAGTCGGGGTATGTGCCCAGGTTGCAGGCTCCATCCCCGGTAGGGGGTGCACAGGAGGCAGCTGAGCAATGATTCTCTCTCATCCTTGATGTTTCTATCTCTCTCTCCCTCTCTCTTCCTCTCTGAAATCAATAAAAATATATATTTTTTTAGAAAAACAAACAGAAAGAATGAACCCTTGTAAAAGGGCAAAGAGGAATAAGATTTACAAATAATGGAAACATTTATCAGCACTAGTTTTCTGTGCAGACAGGAAATATCTCCCAAACACATATTATTGATCAGAAAGTTGAGTTTTCCCTTGTATCTGTTAACTGTTCAATTGACATCAACTCATGAAAAATATGTATGTTAGAAAAGAAGCGATCAGGAATTGGTCCTTCTGATCCAGCCCCTGTATTCCTCCAAACCCCAAATGCTTTTCTTTCTCATTTTCTTGTCTTGGGTCTGCAGACCCTAAGCAAACTATTCTCTTCATCTGTCTTCGGTTCCTCATCACCTCCAAATCAAACACGTCTTTAGGACTCACCATTTTCAAACTTGGACTCCACTGGGCCAGAATCTCGTTCAAAATGCCTTTCATGTACAGACTTTCTCGTCGGAAACTTTTCTGTGTAAAACAGCTGGCTCTGTGCCTGCCACCCGGGTGCCGTCCACTTAAGACTTAGCCCAGGATGGCAGCAAGGGTGCTAGGCATCACGAATCCAAGTTCTAAGCAACAGAATGGAGGGAAAGAACAGTTTTACACAACTGGGTAACGAACGTGGCTGCCCATGCCTACTCACAAAACTTAGATGCCCATCCCTCGCGTCAAGCGAGGCGGAGCCCTGACCAGTGTGGCTCAGTGGATAGAGCGTCGGCCTGCGGA